TAAACGAATGGATCTTGCCGCAACTATATAGAGAATCACAAAGAAGTCAGAATTAGAGTAATTTTTGTATATAAATCAAACAATAAAAACTGATTATACAAATTTAAACACTAAAAAGGTAGCACACAAAGCCAAAAGTTGAAAGAGTCCATGACCATGAAAGCCTGGAAGACAGACCATTAAGTTAGCACTGTGAACTTGACTGCCAATTCCGATACTGCTGCTTCGTGTGACCTTGGGAATGTCATGTCATTTCTCTCATTTCTATTTCTATAAAATGGGAATGTCACCTGCTTTCTTTACAGGGGCAACTGCATAGATATTCGGATAAAAGAATCATTGTTTTTTGACTACTTTTTAAAAAGAAAGTTGTCTGTCTAATTAGTAAGCTTCAATCATCACTTGCTCAGTACATTCCTCTTCAGGAATCCCATTCCAAGAGAAATATTTAAGCAGACGTTGAAGACAGATTTCATTAAGGGAATGATTTTATAAATCTGGAAAGCAATGTAACAAGATTGTAAATTAACAAATTGATTACATAAGCCTTAACAACCACCAGGCTTAAAAGAACACTGATAAACATTCTGATTAAACTGGAGACAACGGAATGATTTGGGACATATCCTCCTAACCCCACACAAGAAACTCAAGCTGAGGCATTTAATGTTTGACAGGAATTTGGTGGAAATTCAACAGGATGCCTAACATTTGCAGTTCCATCATTTGCAAGCCATCGAAGTCAGCTTTATCACCCGCTCCTGAGATTTTGGGAAAACACGCAATAAAATGGAAGGGGCAAAAAGCAACTTGACAGTCTGAAAAGTTCCCTATCTTCAGAAGTCTACAGATTCCAGAATTCTACTGGGAAAATTTCCACAAATAACTGGACTTGAACCAAACTCCCTACGAAGCTACTGGGTTATTTGTATCTAACCCAAGTGTTAAGAACAGCACAACTGGAAAACCAAGGATAAAAGCCTGTCACTTTCCTGAATCCCTAGTCCAAGTAAAAAGCAGGAAGGTTTCTCTAAAATGGTCCAGAAAGAAATCAACAGGCTATGATCATGCTTGTAGAAAAGAACGAAGGTCTCCCAATTCAAACAATATTCTACCTCTCCCTGGGGAATGGTACTGCTCCCCCTGCCTTACCTGGTTGCCCTTTCTCTACAGAAAACAATATCCCATTCTATTGTAAGGTTGCAATTTTACCAAGGAATCCTCCTGGCTGCGGCCAGATCTTTGGATTCCTTTGAAAAAGAGAAACAAATTGAGAGAACAGAACACACCCTATTAGAGAACCTAAGAACGGGGAGCCGGGACTGAGCGCAGCGGTACCTCGGGCGCCGCACTCGGCCCGCTCCGGGGCGGGGCGCGGAGATGCGGGCGCCTCCCGAGGTGCCGCAATCCCGCCGCGGACGCAAGGGCAGGGCCTCCGGGCAACCGCGGCCACCCGCCGCAGTGACGGCTCCCGCTCGGGCTCCGCCGTCGCCCGGTCGCCAGGCCGCACCACCTTCTCGCTGAGTCCGGGCCGCAGCAGCCCGGACCCCGCGTCCTCCCCGGCCGCGCGCAGCGGCCGGCTCCAGGAGCTGGGAGCGCGCAACTTACTTTCCTTCTGCGGCGGACGCCCCGGCCCGCGCTCCTAGCCCGGGAACGGTGGGGACTGCTGAGGCGGCGGAGGCCGGCCCGCAGCCCCACACACAGCCGACTCGCCCCGCCGCTCTCAGCGTTCGCCCCTACCTCAGCCAGCAGACGGGCTTCCGTCCGCAGCGGCCGTGGCGCCGAAGACTCCCTCCCAGCTGCCAGGTCCCCGCACCCAGCGCTAATCATAATACCGAGCGGGCGGCCGGCCGCGGTGGGGGGGTGAGGGGGGGCGGTGGTGATGGCCGATCCGCGCATGCGCAGAGCGCGCGTCACGATGACGCGTGCGCCGGGGCGGGGCCGCGGGTAGGGCGGGTCAGGACGCACCTGCGGGCCCTGGTACGCCGGCTGCTGGAGGACATCCTGGCAGTGACATGAACAGAGCGAGTTTGGACTGCGGCTGGAGGGAGGAAGCGGGCTAGGTACCCGAGAAGGATGGGGGTCTGTGGAAGAGGAAGCAACAGGGACACGGGACTATGGCAGGGGGAAGTAGCGCGAGGAAATCGGAGGGAAAGGATCGCGTCCGCACTTGACCCTGCGTCTGGGGGGTGGGGAGATTCGAGGAGCTGCATGCACTTTACCCTCCGAAGTTCACCCCATCTCCCACCCAGGTCCAAGCAAGGCGGGAGGATATATACATGTGTGTATGTGTACATATTTTTTTTTCATTCTTTGCAGTTTATGATAATCTGATGTGAAGGGATTTTGCTCATTTTCTTGTCATTTAAACAAAAGGGAAAGTCCAGCAACTTAATGCAGTGCTAGCTTTAAAGGTCACCAGAGGCACTGGCGGAACCAAGCTGCCCCCTCTGGAAAGAGCATGGACAGGTAAAAGGTTGTAAAAAGCATTAAAATACATGTTGTTGTTGTTAAGTGTCGTCGAGTCGGTTCCGACCCATAGCAACCCTTACATCTTTACGGGAGCAGAAAGCCTCATCTTTCACCTGCGGAGCAGCTGGTAGTAGCCTCATCTTTCACCTGCGGAGCAGCTGGTAGTTTCGAACTGTTGACCTTGCGGTTCGCAGCCCAATTTGTCACCACTACGCTGCCAGAGCTCCTTAAAATACATGAGCCAAAAAAATAAATAACAAAACCACTGCTGTGAATCTTTACGGACCTAGGACCTTAGAGGTCTGAGAAGAACTGCCCCACGAGATTTCCAAGACTATAAATCTTTATGGATATGCAAACTGCTGCATCCTTCTGCCTTGACTGGTAGCATAGAACCGCCCACCTTTCTTTTAACTGCGAGCCACCAGGGCTAAAATGCTTGAAGTCATGGGTTAAAAATATGCCAGACATAAACCATGGCACTGGATGGCTCCGATTCGGGAAGGGAATTTAGCCTTGGCTGCAATGGGGGTGGTGGGAGGAAGGCAATTTAGGGCCCCTTTAACTACAAGCCTGATGTCAGGTTCCTTCAACCTACTTTCCCCCAGGAGCGTTGACAAGACGAATGGAGTTGATAGCCAAAACACCTTCTCCTTTCTCTTTAGCTGTCTCAGTCAGATGTCTTTCGTATTTGTGCTGCCTGGAAATGTCATTCTGAACTTGTAAAGCACCGCCCTGAACTTGCCAGGTTGGAGGGTAGTGTCCCAATTTCCGCCCTCTGCCTCCACTTCTTGATGTCTGCCATGTTTGAGGTGCCCTGGTGTTTGAGTAGTCCTGGTGTGGCCCTAACAGATAAACACTCGACTGCTAACCTCAAGTTTGGTTTTTCAAACCCACCAGCCGCTCCTCAGAAGCCCTATGTAGGGTCTCTATGAGTTGGACCAATTTGACAGCACTTAGTTACAGCCGTGTTTGAGGAAGGTCGTTGTGTTTTCCAGGGTCAATAGAAGAAACTGCTGAGTGATGCCCCATCAAATGGTGCCCATACCTCATATAGGCCTCTGCTGTTCCCAACACCTGCCCCCCCCACACACACACACACACCTAGAAAGAACCCCTGACAAAGAAGGGCACATGCCAATAAAAAAAACTGCTAGGATGCTACAAAGGAGCTCTAGTAGCATTTTTGTTGTTGTTGTTGTTAAGTGCCGTTGAGTCGGGTCCGACCCATAGCGACCCTGTACAGGGTTTCCGAGGGTGTAAATCTTTACGGGAGTAGAAAGCCTCATCTTTCTCCCGCGGAGCGGCTGGTAGTTTCGAACCGCTGACCTTAAGGTTCACAGCCCGATTCGTAACCACTACGCTACAAATGGAGCTGCTAATCTCACGGCCAGCAGTTCAAAACTACCAGCTGTTCCACAGCAGAAAGATGAGGCTTTCTGCTCCTGTAAAGATTTACAGCCTCGGAAACCCTGTACCAGGTCGTTATGAGTCAAAACTGACTCCACGGCACACCAACAGTTGGGCTACCAGTATGGTTAGAATGACTGGAAATCTGGTAACCTGCAAATGTAGGAAGCCTTTTCTTCCAGCCTTTCTCACAACTCCAACGTTTGCCTGTCTCAAGATGATTGGGAGGCAAGAATGGATTGTTGGGTGGTGCACAGCCTTTGAATCTCAGACTTCTTTAAAGTAAGGTTTACTGTTACCCTTATGCCTTGGCATTTGGGTGATAGAGTCTTCGCCCAAGTCTGTGGACTTAAGCCCTTAGGGCTGAGTCAAGACACCCCCCCCCCATCCCTGGGATCTCAGACTAGGAAAAACCATACAAAAATCATCTCATTTGATACTGACATTCTAACTCTAGCAGCACATTAAGCAAGAGCTCCTAACTTGGGTTTATGGAGTTGGTTCTTGTGTAGCTGGATATTTTGGAAGGCCGTGCACTTTTCCCTCAGGGAGGAATCATTACTCTAGGAAACCTATAGCCAACTAAAAAGGGAGGAAAAAAATACCATTCTAATGGTCTCCCCTGGGAATCTCACTGGGTGAAGGCCTCCACCCTACAGTCTATAGCCCCAGAGATGTTAACAGTAACCACAAAAACAGAGGTCATAGTAAATAAAGGGCTTGAAAAAATAGAGTATAATATTGTTACTCCTGTTATTCAGGTTTTGAATAAATTCCAAAAGAAAAATAAGGGCATCAGAGTAGCAAAACAATGAATTAAAAGCAACATAACAATAAATTGATTTAAGTACAGTCTGCTCCAACTCTCCCAGATGGGGAATGCAGTACTGGCCACGTGGTAAATCATTTATTCATCCCCAGTGTTTCTTGGGAAGCTGGAGTGCTGCTGGCAAGACCTGACCCATTTTCAGTTCTATACCATAAATGTGGTAATATGATCTGATTATGTTTGAGTAATATTTTTAAATATTCAGGTACCAATTAATATATTATTACTTAAGTATGAATTTAAGCAAATATGTTTATTGTTAATGAAGAAACCCCTTCTCCAGTCTGCCCTGGGGCTTTCTCCAATGCACATTGCTTTTTTAACTGTAGGTCTTTTTATGGACCTGTAAGAAGCTTTAATTAGATATACAGCACTCTACAAAATGACAAGATGGAGCATGCATGCTTGAATTACAGTCCTTGTGATTCAAATCTCAAAAATAACATAATGCCACCGATTTAAAGAAGAAATTGTTTATTGGAAGAAAACCAGGGAGATGCTACAAATGAGATGAAGATGCAAAAGCTAGCAGATTCATGAAAGAACTGCCATTTACAAATTTTTGGAATTTACAAAAAATAAAAAAATCTATGTTTAAAGCAATATGTTGAGTATTCATGCACAGTTCACTCTTGAGTTGCGACTTTTTACTTAATGTGGTTTCCTTTTACATATTTAATTAGTTATTGTGTACATTGATATTTGTGCCTTCCTGAATCTTGGCTTCATCCCAGTAGAATTAAAATAAAACTTTATTGGAAGGACATAAGATTCACCAGCTGCTCTTTGGAAGTCCTATACAGAGTTGCTATGAGTCAGAACCTACTCCAAGGGACTTAAGAGCTGCATGGATTTAGGCAAGTTGGTTAACCCATCTGTAAAATGGGCTGATGGTGCTGATAATGGAATCTTCCTGATAGGGTTGATGTAAAACAGTGCTTCTTACAATGTGTTCCTTGGCTAACAGCAGCAGCATCTTCTGGGAACTGGCTTGAAATGCAAATTCTCAAGCCCCACTCAAGACCTGTTGTTGCTAAGTGCCATGTAGTTGGTTCCAACTCATAGAGGCCCTGTATAAGATTTCTGAGGAACACCTGGTGTGTCTGAACCACTCACCTTGCAATTAAGAGTCCAGTGCTTATCCTGCAGTACCACAGCAAAAGCTCTAGGATGTATGTTTTAAATTTTCTGTGCAATTCTGATTCAGGCAAGAATTTGAGAAGCAGTGTTGGTAGAACTAAGTGAGTTTACATAAAGTATTAGAACATTGCCTGGTATGCAGTGTAATAATGAATTTTTTTGTAATGAGTACAGTGTGTTGTTGCTGAGATACACAAATTTAAGTTAGGCCAAAAAAAGCATGCCCACATTGTTCATCCTACAAATATCAAAATCAAATCAACTGCCATAGACTAGAATTTTGTGCTGATTTTTTTAGAAGTACATTGCCAGGTCTTTCTTCTGACACACCTCTGGGTGAACTTGAATGAATCTTTCAGCTAGCAGCCAACTGAGTTAACCTTTTCCACCACCCAATGACTCCCTTCCAACAAAGAAATCCTGCTTAACCCCTTAGGAGCCCTAGTGGTGCTGTGGGTTAGGAACTGGATTGCTAACCACAAAGTTGGCAGTTTAAACCCACCAGCTTCTCCATGGGAGAAAGATGAGGCAGTCTGCTCCTGCAAAGATTTACAGTCTCGGAAATTCTATAAAGTTTCAATCGACTCAATGGCAGTGGATTGGGTTGGATTTGGTAACCCTTTGATGAAGGTTAAGACCTGCCATGTCCTTCTTCATCTGGTTGCTGTCTTGCTGTGTTTGTGGCTCATTTTACTCCCTGTGTATATCATGACTCCAATCCTGTGAATGAAAATTGTTTTCTCATATCGCCAAGCCTATGCCCATTCTGTTTCTTTTGCCTGACAGTTATTCACCCACCTTTTTTCTATACTTCCTACACTTACCATCTCTTAAATTCCTACTTGTTCTTCAGAACCCACCTCCCCTATGGCCCAGTCAGAGCCAGGAGCTCTCTGGAAGCCCATGCTTTCCTGTATATCCCTCTAGAGTACTT